CGGCGGGCCTCGCTCTTGGCCCGCTTTATCGCTGCCTGAAGGGTCCTCTTGGCAACCCTGTAACCCGCTAACAGCTCCGCCTCTCTCGCTGCCGCATCTTCGGGGACCGGCGCGCCATCTGTAGGGGCGGAGACGTCAAACCGAATATATCGGTGATCCGAACCTGTCTCCTCCCCGACAAAGACGCGCCAGCCTTGGACACGATGCGCTAGCGAGGGGCATGCGAACGAGATGTCCACGATCGAACTACCCCTCGCCGTCACGAACGTGGCCACGGCCCCCCGGTTTAGGAGAACTAGGCCGAATCTTTCAGCCCAGTTCTCCAATGCCCTGCCCCTCGGGTTCGTGCGCAGGGAACCCCAAGCCTGCGACCAGGCGTTGAAGTCCCCCAGCACAAGAACCGGGTGGGAGCGACAGGCATCGACGACAACGGCCAGCTGAGCGAGCCATTCCTCGTACTCAGTTAGGTTTCGGTTCGGCGTGAAATAAGCGGCCACGACCGCTATATCTCCAACTATCGCCGCTACACAGCCCCGTCCCCTTGCAACTACTGCTTGCAGTAGTTGCAAGGGGACGGTACCGCAGCCGGCACTCCACCTCTTGAGGTGGAGTGCCGGCTGCGGTACCGTGCACCAGGGCCGCCGTGCCGTCCAAGTCGGTCTCCCAGGCAGGCCCGAGAAACCGATGGACATATGGCTCGGCGATAGCGGCGATGTTGATGGACCACTGTGCCATGCTCTGGAGCAGAAGATCCTGAGCATCGGCACCGTGGCCTACGTTCACCTGGAGGATGCGGAGATGTGGATCCATCACTGGACTTCCATCCCCGCATCCCGCAGCGAACTTTGCGGCTGTCCAGCGGCACTCCCCGTCTGGATCAGCGGCCCGGAGGCGGAAGGTCGGCCTCCCGGCTTCGGTCATGATAGGGCACAGGCCTCACCACCAACCCGCTGGTCGGCAGGCTTGTCCCCCGCTGCGCACCTAAAGCAACGCAGCGGAGCGTTGCAGCCACCCGCCTTGTGACCGGGCTGGCCACAGCGGAAGCATCGGTCACCTACGGTGGCCTCCGCCGTGCAGTGCACCCCTACGTGCCCCACTGACAGGCACCTGAAGCACCTTGCCGGTCGGGCCTGCAGGAGTCGTGCCTGCGCCCTCAGGAAACCTCCGACCAGGAGGCTCCGTCCATCGGCGACCTTCTGGGCCGCTGCGATGGGGCAGCTGACAACCGCTGCCCCCTGTCCACCGGGGCCGAAGCGTATTGCTCCGGCCTTCACGCTGTCCAGAGGGCAGCTTCCCGTCTCCGCCACGGCGAGTCTGAGCTCGTCCGCCGTGACAGAGTCGTCCAGGCCCGTGATGCGAACTTCGGCGCATTTAGTGGGCCTGGACACTCGGACGTCAGCTGCATCCAGTGACTCCCTCAGCTTAGCCGCTAGGGCGTCGGCTTTGGGGCCACTGGTAGCGCCGGCGACCTCGAGGAGCCGGGCTCCCGTCCGTGTGTTTTCACACCGGACGCCCGGAATCTCGAGGGCTTTGAGGTCCACGGTGGCCTTGACTTTCGTCAAGACCTCGGCGTACCCCACGCCCCTCTCCAGACTATCCCACCTAGGAGAGCGGAAGATTTACGTGAAGGAACGCTGGCTGTGAAGTGTTCTCACCACTAATTGCCCCGTTATCGACAAAGTACTTCCTAAACTCTTAACCACGTCTGATAGAGATGATAGTTGTCGATATTTTTTTTACTTACAAAAGGTATAAAACAAAGAATTCAAGGGCCTGTTGGTCAACTGGCTGGCGATCCTGAACGCAGATCCAGAGGTCGTGGGTTCAATTCCCACTAAGGAATATTAATACCCAAAATAATGTGTAATGAGTACGATCGTTTGTTCTGTGTATGTGTAATATATCTATAATATGTAGAAACCAATAGTAGTTTGGTATTAACCACCCATGTCAATTTTGTAATGAAAAGGAATATCCCAATTTTTTTCAATACACGCCTTTTAGAAAACAAACAAACTCTTCAACTTTATAATATTAGTATAGATTAGTAGGTACGTGTACCTATGTACCTAAATGAATTATTCATATCCAATCAAGGAACCAAACGTCCCTATATTATTACCAAACGTCCCTATACCTTACGCGTCACACATTGTATTAAAGTAGAAACTAATCCTATTATATGGCCTTATTCCTTAGTGGAAATATTTAAATAAATACTTTTGCTTGATTTCGGTCACGCACGGACCAATACTAGCTATTGGGCCGTGATTGCTTCCGTGACCATATGACTTGGTTCTCACGCTCGCTTCCCTGCATGCAAAGACTTTTTATTTTAAGTCATGTCAAATTAAATATTTCTATTCGAAAAAAACTTAAAAAATGTTGAAACCTTTTTTTTTAATTAGCACAGAGTCAACGTATGTTATTTTGTCATAATAACATGTGTCGGTTTTTTTTTAAGATTACAATTATTTTAAAGATCGCTATCTGTCCGTGTCTATCCCTGATATAATAACTCGTTTTGGTTTAGCTGAAGCTTGTTAGAAGAAATCGGTGAAACGAATTCACGTCCATACTCTTAAAAAATTTGATTTACTTAATACACAACAATCTGTGAAATGTTTTACTGTACCATTTTGTTTGTACACTTATTATATCGTATCACGTTTCTAGGCAAGTCAACAAAATTAAGCTATGAAAATTTTAACCCAGAAAACTAAACAAAGGCAAAGGTTTAGCTATCTATTATATTTAATTACACTTTATTAGAATAAATAAAATATTATGATACTAATTTATTTCCGACTAGTAATACAGTCAAATAGTAACAATTCTGACCTTATATATATTTATTTTATCATCACCTAGTAGTACACAACTGGTATTTTAGTCAACCTTACAGGGTTTACTAAGATACCAGTTGTGTACATACACACATGTTCAATATTTGTATTAGGAACGGTGCAGTCTGCATTGAACTATTCGTGGTCCAAGTCCGCAACCACTTGATCTGGAATCGGACGCTGTAGCGACGATCTTATCGCTTCTGAACGGGTCGTTGCCTCTACGTATTCGTGGTACCATTTTATCAAGTTCATCGAACTATTTTAGCAGGTTACGTGTCAAGTATATGTGTATGTTGAATAAATAGTAGAACAAAAACCAGGTAAGGGAACTTGCTGGTTGGAAATTGGTCGTAAAGTTTTCTAAACAGCTTTAGGCTAATATATGTTAACAGTCTAATCAGCTTGATAGTAAGAGAAGGCCCGCAGCGGGTAAACAAACATGTCGCTTTTTATACAATTATTATTCCACGAAATATTCCCTTCATATAAAATAACAAACATACACAAGAAAACTAATTTTATATTAAAGGAATACTGAACTATGAATATCAAACAAAGAATGAAATAAATTATTAGTTTCACAAACACATAGTATATTAAAGTAATTCAAAACCAGTTAAAGCTCTTTGTTTTACTTGTATAAAGCTTATTTATTATTAACATAAGAAATTTATAACTAATGTTTATGTTACTAGAAGTTCTGTGAACATTAAACTTTGCCAGCAGTTGGGTGTAATAACATCGAAGCAAACCTATTCCTTCCTATCTTTGGGCAATTTATTTGTGAAAGAAGCTTGTGAAATTAGTGGTTTTTTATTACTTAAAATGGTTCTAGTTATTCAAATATACCTATAATCTACAAATTTCCTATACTTTACTCATCTTACATACGCAAATATTAACATTATGTGTGGGTGTTCTTTGATCAGGGGATTAGAAGTCACCCACACACATAAAGTGAATCTTTTAAATAACTGATATTTACTAACTCACTTCTTATAAAGGTAAAGTACGAATATAAAATAAACATACCCATGAATACATTCGAGGCATAACCGATGATTTTATCGATAACAGAACATCCCTATTATCTATGGTCACGTAGAAAAAAGGAATAAAAGTAGTTAATGATCCAATTATATGACAAGAGTGGTTCATTTGGTCTCATTGTTATTATGCTTACAGCAATATATTATTTATAACAAAATTACAAAACAATGCACCAGTTTACAACGTTAAAATACCGTTTGTAAGAATCTCCTTAAAAAAACCTTTTTTTATTTCTTGTTATTCTATGGTTTAATAACATTTCTTTTTATGCGAGCGATTTATATTTAAATTAAATCTGTACACACGGACTTAATCACACTTTTGTATCTCTTGCTCACTCTTATCTCTATCTCCTATATCTTTGATGTGATTTTGATTGTCTTAGTTCTAGATGTTTTGATTTTTACATTATGTATCTATCACAGTTCTAACTGTGAACAGTCTGCTCATCATATCTCCTGTGAATATAGTCTTTGGTACAAAGGAAGTAATATAATACTGACTAGCTAATAGCTAGGCAATAAATTTTAATGTTTCTAGGGTGATTTTTCATACGTTTTGACGATCCTGCTATACATATTGTGGGAATTAAATACTTACTTAAGACTCATAATGTTTTTGTGTCCGTATTGTGTCTTTGTTTAATAGAATAATTGCCTTTTTGGCACTCTTTTTGTGTCCCGATTTGCTACGGAGTGTAGCGGATTTATTATATTTTCAACTCCTCCAATAAACTTCCGATTAATTTGTGGGTTTCAAGTTTCTTATGTATTTATGTGTTCGTGTGTCACTGCTGTTGATCCTGGTGTATAGGAGTTACACCATGCTACAGTTAGTCATAACTTTCAGAAGCAAGTGATGTTTGCAGAAGCGTGTAATGGACGCCTAACGTATGGATAGATGTCGTGTCTTTCAAATATTACCTTCATTTTTAAATCGCTACCTTATTAGGCCTCGGTTTTTATTACGCCATGATTTACACATCTTATCTTTGTAGAAGTCGCAAAACTAAATAATTTTAACTTTTGAATATCTTACATAGATTATTTCTAATTTCTTTATTCCTTCAATGAATATTCATATTGAAAATTTCTAAAGGTAATGTGTGGGAAGTCGGAGCGTGGTCTTGGTGGAAATGTCTGGTGTACTGAGATCGGCATTACCTATAAAGTACCAAGCAACCATCTGCGACAGTCAGTAAGACAAATAAATCAAAGAAGATCTGGGTATGGGCTCCATATGCGCGTAACTGATACGATCAAGTTGTGAGTATTCTTTTTTAATGTAGAATTCACGAACACACAATTATTGTCCATTATCTAAGATCTATTAAATCTCAGTTAAAGGCAGTCACTGAGGGATAAGTTTAAAGAGATGGGTATTATGGCTGTCGTATCTCAATACCTACATGAAAGGTTAGTGTACGAGTATGTAAAGAAACATATTCATTTTATCACAAAGTTATTTATTCACAAAGTTAAAAGACATTCATAAAATATACAGTAGAAATAAAGATAAACTCGTGTTGCCAACGAATAAACTAAAAAAGTATGCAAGTCTTTTCGATGTCAGGGAATGCGATTCTACAATATAATTCTAAGTAAATTTTATGAATTAAGTATTAACAAATATAATTCCTTAATAAAACAAAAAACTATGTACTGCTCACTCCCACACCTACGTTCCTATTATTGTTGTTATGTTTAAAAGTGATGGGCATTTAATTTCATCATCAGCCTATCGCAGTCCACTGCTGGACATACTCCTGCTGGACATGCACCCATTGCACGCCACTGAGATAGATGTTTGGCTTCTCGCATCCAGCTCCTGCAAGCCATCTTGTGCAAATCGTCACTCCACCTGGACTGTGCCACATTTAATTTATTGTTGTATAATAAATGTGAGTGTAGTGTATATGTATAACATATTTAGTAACTTTCTGGTGATTTTAAGTGTTTTCACGGCCTCCTCAAATGTCCTGAAGTGTGTATGTACAAGTCGACTCAAAACTATGGTCCTTTCTTACTTGTAAATATATCTGAAAAGATTTACTTACTTACAGAAAAAATATCGTTTATTTTAAATTAAAAAATCATACACAGTGACATGTATTGGTCATCATCATCATCATCAGCCTATCGCAGTTCACTGCTGGACATAGGCCTCTCCCATTGCACGCCACTTAGATCGATTTTTAGCTTCTCGCATCCAGCTCCTGCCAGCCATCTTTCGCAAATATATTCATCATCATCAACAGCCTTTAATAGTCCACTGCTGGACATAAGCCTCTCCTTAGAAAGGGAATATATTGCGCAAATATATTGGTCAAATAAATTAATATTATTATTATAAGAATAATCAGTCAGTAGTAGATGATGAAATTTAAGAATATACTTAAATATCATCATCAGTCAGTAGTAGATTTTAGTCACCGATATTGGATCACTGATTGTACACCTTTTTAAGTCGGACAGCCAGTAATTTTCCTTTTCTTTTTATTCTGACCAACTATTGTTGTACAAAAATGCCAACTGTTGTTCCAAATGTTACGAAACCTTTTATTTCTTCGCCTGAAATTAATACCTAATTTCCACAGTTTTTGAACAAATCAGAAGATATTACGATAACCTTATCGCTATGCAGTATAAAATTCGAGGTAAAGTTGTCGGCTTTCAAGTAATAAATATATTTTAATAGTCGAATGAGTTCTTTAGTTTTGTTGAGCGATTAATTTGGTGTTATACAATATTAATAGGCAAAAGGTTGTGAGTGTGTGCTTGTTACTTCTTCACGTGTAAACGGCTGGACCAATTTAGATATTTTTTGTTATGGAGGTAGCTGACACCGTGGATTAACACAAAGACTACCTTTTATGACGAATAAATATAGTTTCGCCGTGGGATAAGCAAGGAATCGAAATAAAAATTGCTAAACCGCGGTTAACACTACAGCTAGTTTTGAATATAATTTCCTTTACGTTTTGTCAAAATTTTAGTTCTTTTGACAATGTTATTATATACCTAACTTTAGGTTAAATTTATCACTTGGATAGAACTATTTTAAGTCGCAGTCGAATCATCAAACAAACTTAAAAAAAAAGCTGTAACACTGTTGTGTTAAATGCTCATTTGGAAGTGATCAGGGTTGATGATATGTACTATAAAAATAATAAATTTTAACAACCAATATGGTCCCTATCAACTAGTAATGTAGTTAAACGGACATGCTTAACAAGATAGATCCTCGTAATTCTTAAAAGTAATTCCATTTGGGCTTCCTATCTGATTTAGTTTAAGAGAACGAGAGAAAATTTTAAATTAGAAATGATTTGGAATCAGAAACAAAACGAAAACTAAATTAGTTTCGGGTATAATCCAGATGTTTAGCTTTTATCGTTATATACATGGATGATTTATGGCCAAGCAGCTTTTACTACCTTTCCACAAGAATATTAAAGCGAAATTAAACTAAAGCCGCTGTCATTTGTTGCTATAAATACTTGTGTTATCTTATCACGAATGTTGCAAATTATACTTGTTTAAATAAGCTTCTTATACTTGACTTGTGTCTAATCAAAATCAATACGCATAAAATATTATATTCTGTTTTATTTATTTCAATCTGTCTGTAATTGTCTGTCATTTGTGATATTTTATTTTAATTCCTTTCTTTTTTTACTGTGATATAAAACTATAGATGTAAAGCTAAATCTAAAATAATAAGATAAAAAAACAAAATTAATCTTAAACGTATAGCCCACACTAATGTTCTCAAACTTTGTTTAAAAATATAATTAAAATCTGTCAATGTAGAAATTCCTTTAATCTTAAACACTTACGAAAACTTTTTCCTAATAATGAAAAATATTTCTTTAAAAATAATAATCTCAAATGTTTATCTTCTTTATAGTAATGAGTAAACCGCCATCTATTAAACCACATATCTACTCGTATGTTCGAGCGTTATGACCAAAAGAAATAGGCCACATGGCCCCGCTTTGAACTCGAGTAAACGTTACATTAAAAACCACACCAATCACTTTATGAGATTTAAGATCTTATATTTTAGCCTCGTAATGTAATTAGTAAATATTTACAATACTTAATATTGCAATATCGTCATAAAAATATTCAATACTTATGTAGAGAGAGCCAAGTATCTGTGAATCTGTATTTTGATATATATACATATATATATATATATATACATCTAATAGTGTTTTTTTAACCGACTACGCCACAAGGAGGTTTATTTTTTTCGAGTGTATGTATGTATGTTTCTTTGGCACGCGCTATAGTTTAAACGGCATGATGGATTTTGACTTGGGAGGTGTCATTAGATTCGACTTTATTGTGCGAGTGACACTGAGTTTATGAAAAATATAAAAAAAACTAGCTGACTCGGCGGACTTCGTACCGCCTATTAGGTAACAAATTTGGTGACATACCGACAGCAGAGCCACCTACCGGGTTAAATTTAAATTGTACATTTCAAGATAAGATCGCCGGTTTGTAAATTGTAAGTATACATTTTCACGCAGGCATTTTCTTGTTTGTAGATACGCATCACAAGATGAATTTATTTTACTACTGGAAACTATAATAAATAGAACAATTCAATTCTGTTTGTAAATTAAATAAAAGTAAAGCCTGCCTTCAGCACATCCATGTAAAAACAAAAAATTCTTAGCTAATTTAAGGTTTCTTTAACGGGGGAGGGATTTACACATGCACGCTGTGAACACAGCCAGTACAACCAACTCAAAACATGAGGCAATAAGGTATCATCATCATTTAGATTTTTGCCTATATTATACATACATAGATACATTAGCACGTGTATTATGTAGGTAGGAGTGATGAGCTGAATCCTTTTTCTATCTATCATCAAAAGCCTTTGGTAGACCATTGCCGGACATAGGCCTCTCCTTAAAAAGGAGATTTTGGCCTACTATACCATGCTAGTCAGACGGGTTGGTATACAATAAGGTATACAAGCATTAATTTCAGAACTAATAATTACATTTCATGAAAACGCGAAATTGTAAAGTAACACCATCTTATGTTCTCTTAGCAGCCACAAATAATAATGCATGTTTGCGGTATGCATAGAAATCATCCAAAACAACATTTTGTTACGTTCCTAATGCATACTTATCAAAAGCATAATCATACAAAAACATATTTTCATAATATACGAGTTTATGGTAATTGATACGATAACAAAGAAATTATGTACATGTAAAACTTCGCGAAATTAACTTCCACGATACAAGAATAACCCTATTAATTTTAATCGTTTTCTCCCAGAAAATGTATGTAATGCAATTAATCAGAACATCAAGCGTTACCACGTAATGGTGTGCAAACATCGTTCAAAGTTACCACAGAGTCAATTTTAAGCGTAAATCGGAGGTTTAGAACATTCAGGGAGTGACGATCAATCCTCGGGGCTTGAATTCTTTGCAACTGCAGCGATACAAGTATAGGAGTTCGAGCGCTGGCTGCCGCACGGCATTCGACGTCGCGCCTTCGCTCCCGCAACTCGCCGAACCAGGTACCAAATCCAACTTGTGTCTTTCGAACATAATACTAAAGTGAACATTACATTTTCAAACATTTTCTTTATAACTAACAGTTTTAAAAATCCTTTGAAAGTAAAATTTCGTACATTCATTTATTACATTGTTTTTTAAATATAATACATCTGAAATTGTGTCTTTAATTAATTTTAAAACTTGAAGAAAGTGTTCATTTTTATACAGCGTTAATCAAAGTTTTAAAACTCGTGATTTGAATTGAAAACATCTAAACGTACTCTTTTAAACAAACTTTCACAACTGTCGAGAGTTTTCATAAACTTTTAGGCCGGGGCTTTTAAACGGCTAATTCGAAGTAAAAATGCGCCCTCACGTAGAAAATTTGAAACGTAATTTATCAATGTAAATGGGTAATAAAAATGAAAGATGAATGGAAAGTCAAGATGGACACACCCTGCGCCATTTTTTCATCTGCATGCCTATTTATCTAGAAAAGCTTATGACAGTTTTGAGTTATAAAAAGTCAAGCTGACGAAAATGTATTATCTGAATAATAAAACTTTGTATTTAGTAACTAAAAGTATTAGTAGGTCCTATTTCTTTTCGGGGAAAATTATTTATTAAAGGTGGCGTGACAGTCACGTTCACATTTCTTGTGGTCACAAAGCAAACTTGTGGCCCGAGGGACAAAAATTTTAGTTCTACCATGACAATGCATTTCCTTGTAGAGTGAATTACGCAATAAGGTATGAAAGGGTTTTTATAGCAAGACAAGGTTCTGTAAGACTACACACTTGTGTTTATTGTTTTAGTATAGAAGATATTTTAAGAGCGAAATGGCAAATTATACAGGGCGGGTGTTTTAAGTTACGTCTCTGTAGTATTGTGTAATATTTTAGGATATTCCATACAAAGGTTTAGGTACTAGGTTTAATTTAATGTTTGCTGATATTTTATATTCCCCTACTTCTTTAGTGGTTTTATTTGATTTGTAAATGTGAAATATAAATAGTGATTTTCTTACAAGTTATATAGCATGTCTTCAATATAAATACAGAAAATCTTTTTTTAATTTAAACATTATCTATAAATAGAAGTAGACTTTTATTTTGGAATTGAGTTGTATTACTACTAGAGAAACCAACGAATGATTTATGTCTATTGATGATTTATGTTAAATTATACCAAATGGGACTCTGTAGTTATAATTAAATACGTATTAATTTTTATTAGTATTGACATAGTTTTTTTCTGAAACTTTCTTTGTTTTAAACTTGTCATTGTATACGTAATATTTTCATATTCAAAATATGTTAAGTCAGTTTTTACTACTTAAAAAAATCATTATTTGTTATAATGATATGAATGTAATATATTTCAAATTCTTTTGTAGACTTATTATCTAATTAAACGACTACAAGTGCTTCAAAGAAGTGGTACTTAAATAGTATAACAGTCTTGCTAATATTTAGGTCTTATATTCATTGGGATTCTTTACTTCTCTATCAATCGGTATTTTTATTATAACGAAAATCCCGTCATATTACTAATTAATGTGAATTTTTACAATACAATTTTATTATAAATCACAATAGGTAGGTTTTTAGTAAGGGAAGGGAATCAACGACAATTATATATGTAATCTACCTTTGATTTCAAAAGATTATTACAGCTTAATTAAACAAAAGTGGATAAAGTTAAGAAAACATACACAAACATCTTACAAAATCCAGTAAAAACAACAGATTAACATTTGTGAGTGTCTCGTGTTAGATTCAGTTCAGATAAGATTCAGAGATGATGATAAAAGTAAGGTTCATTCAACAGATAATGTGTTTGAGGTATTAAAATGACTTAATAATCGAAAATTTAAACAAATACCAATAGTTTATAACTAAGAAATATATAATTTATATTGAATCCCTAGGTCGTAAAGTAATAAGTAATTACTTGTGTAATTGCTATTTACACAAGTAATTATTTTAGTATTCATAAAATTCAATATAGAATTGAAGAGCAGTTTGCTTATTTCATCTTTTTTGGCTGAGATAAAAGACTATTCATTACAATTATCACTACGCTAAAAATACAAAAGATATCTTTGCCCTAACACATGTATTAAGCCTCTGTCATTTCGAACTCAACGAAATAATCGTTTTTCTTAAAACGGTTCATCGTTTAACGGTGGTTGTTCACTTCAGGTAGGTACGTACTTAATGGGCTTTTTACAGTTATTTTTGCAAGAATGTTAAATTTAAAATAACGTTATTTTTCCACCAATACAATACAATAATTGTAAATGTAATCTTTATTTTATTTCTCTGTAAATTAACTTTCACGCTAAAATGAGAGTTTTGCAAAACTGATGTTACATCATCGTCGTGTTAGATGATTTTTTGTGGAACAAACTGTAGAATATTTTTGTGGTTAATATTACTGAATATTACTGTATAAATCAAAAATAATAATCATAAATAGTTTTTGTATATTAAACTAGTAGGGTATTGAAGTAAAGTTAAAAAATAAAAATAAAACTATTTGTTAAAATGATTTTTACATCGAAAGTTCCCAATCATCACTTTTATTCGTATTTTGCAATAGTAGGCAAGCCTATTGCCAATTCGTCTTTGAAATTTGTTAAAATTCAAATAATTTTTTTAAGTGATAATATTTCAGCTTTATTGTATTAATGACGAAGATTACAAAATTTCACTTTAATTCATAATAAGATAAAAAAACTAAAAAAGAATGAGATATTTTTTGGTATAAATTCAAATTTTTCTTTACCTAGTTCTGTATTCCTCAAAGCATTTTATTCCGTCCGTGTAAGAGCTAGATTATAGATTTCAAATATATTTTTACTTTAATCTATGACTCGTACAAAGTAGTTCCTTGCTCTGAATAAACTCAAAGGCTTACGCTAGTAGGTTCTTGTGATCGATCAGGATTCGTCCTAAGTCCCTTTACGGTCAAAGGTGAGCTTACTCAGGCCTTAATTTTCGGTCCTATTAGAACTATATTTGGTGGTACTATGGAGCACACTGAGAGAGACTTAAGTCCAGTAGTGGACTTCAAATAGGTTGATTTATTGGTTGGTTAATATAGTGGGTTTATAAAAACACGTACATTGAGTACATTTATATTAACTTTTTTTTAAGTTTTCTTTTTTATTCTCTAAAATTTAACATCATGATGTTTTCTTGTAACTTTTCACAAGCACTAGTTTGGTCCCGGACAAACAGTAGTCACACCTGGCAGCAAGCGCAGTGGTTAAAGTAGACACCTTGACATTTCACGACGTCAAAAGTGGTGAGGGTTTCATTCCACATCTGTGCAGAGTTTAGGTGTTTTTATGTCTGTTGTTTGAATATTAGTTAAGTCCCACAAGACACTGAGATCATGCCTAAGGCGCGGCTTAAAGAAAAAGTAGCATCATCTTCACTCCTACGCGACCTAACTTTTTTAGAGGGTAAGGATAATAAAAGGGTATAAATATATCTATCGATTCAATATACAATATAAAACCCACGACTAAATATTTAAATAGCGTAGAATATACCAGATGAAAATTTTGCGATAGAATGTCCCGCAGCTTCTCTACGATAATATTTTTATTGAACATCTGGGTCATTGCTTTTATAAAACAGCTTGTGAACTAGTATAAAGTGTTCACATATTTCTCACAAGTAGTTGTCACATTGCTATTGTCTTTTTTATTTTAGGTGATTGTCTTTTGTTCCTGAACGATTTATGTTTCATAGAAAATGTAAAGTTTATTAATATTATTTAACGGGAATTAACGCGATCTCTTATTTAGGGTATTACATACCTCTGGTTTGCCTGACGTTTCGACCAGGTTGCACCGGCCGTGGTCACAGGCTGACCAACCAGAGGTATGTAATACCCTAAATAAGAGATCGCGTTAATTCCCGTTAAATAATATTAATTATCATGGAACGCGAAAGTTTAAAAAAAAAAAAAAAATGTAAAGTTTGTTGTCTTTACATTTATCCGTTCTAACTTGTACAGCCTTGATATTTGTGATCATGTAAAAGGTTCAAATTTCACTTAATATGTACTTCCACGATCTTACTTCTAACATAACCTTCCTTTCTTTCATTAAAGTCATCGTTTTGATTAAAATATAGCCTAATATATAGACTTTTCCTAACTTAATTAAATTTATTATTAAAATTAACTTCTAAAAACCATGTTAATTCGGTGTCAAACTTAGCCACATACCTCCATAATTTCAATTTTGCAAATTCGAGTACAATTTAATTAATATAAAAATGTACGAGTATCTGTTTTCTAACCAAGCCTTTTTATAAATACTTCTAAATGCCTTTTTATAAATACTACAGTATGACATTCTGGGTAGTTTTAGACGCCTTGATTCAGTCACACGCTGAAAATACCTGCGGTGATGGTAGCAAATGGGTTCTCTGAGAGGAAGTGGGATCACTCCTATCCTACTCGTAAGCCTATATGTGCCAAACTATGCAACAAGTAAACATCTCCCAGGACAACAGGGCTGTATAATAAACTAAGGTACTAAAGTAGGAAAAATAACCTAGTAAAAATGTGGATAGATAGAACTGAGTAGCGTATCAAGTGTGGTTTGCTACGGTAAAATTACAACATATTATTTTTTAAGAATAATTATAAAATATAAAGTTTCAAATTTGTTCTCTATCCGTTTATAACTGGATTTTGTAGTAGTTCCGTGTCTTAGTTACCTCTCCTAATACAGACAGGTACGCGACCACGGCCTCTTCAAGCTAATCTAGTCTTAGTCCCGTTTTCTATCTCAGACCTGGAGTATCTTTTAACATCATATCATAATTTTTTTCACATCAAAATATTGTTGTGGTATATTTTATGATGCCATTGTATCTATCTGTTAATTAAAAAAGGATGGCCGTGAGTTTATTTGCTCTTTTTTCTCATAAGGCTCGATACCTGTTAAACTTGCGGTTGTAGATCGGTACAGATATATTTACAATAATATTTTGATACGTATAATTTTATTACATTTGACAAAATAGACATTTTTGCTATTGTGTGTGTTGATCTATGACTTCAGAGTCTAGATAAGAGATGATTTCAAAACTTATTTTTTATGAAATGATGATATTTTGAGTTTGAGTTTTACCTTAACTCTCTTGCCCTACCTTTTGCTTTCCTAGAATTCAAACCGAAGTCAGGTAGGCGGTTGCATAAAAAACAAACCAGACAATTGTGTTGACCATAAACTAGCGAAAAAAGCAGCAAGAGGATGATGACGGATTTTCATTCGCATCATTTATGAAGTTACAAGTTTCAGATTTATTCTCCATAAATAAAATCATATTTTTTTAACTCCATTTCAAATTCCTTCTATTCAATATTTGTTGAAATCCCGCAGCTCTCGAGTGAGATTTTTGCATCTACATTTTCAATTTATTCACCAGAGTTATTACCTTCGTACCGTACATTCAAATTTATTTGTAAGAACGTAGCTCTGTAATAAGTTTTCAGTTCTAAAAACTGGGGCTAAAAATACTTCTGTCAGTAATAGTATCGTAACATCACGCGATCTTCGCGTTTTTTATAAACAAGTGATGAAAAAATACCGTAATTTATACTAAATCAGTTTAAGGTGGTTTTATGATTACAATTTTAGCTTCACTGTTTGAATACTTCATAAATCTAATCCAAACAAATGTAACTTTTATAAATCAGAGTTAGTCTCATTAATCTTTACCGCTATATAATATAATTCATACGTAATATCGTTATAATAATGAGTATAATACAAATATTTAGGAAACACGTTTTTATTAGTATACCTATTTAAAAATTATAAAATAAATAATAATAAAAAGAGATGATAGAGACATAATAGATGAAATTATTAATTATATGATTTATGATAATGCTTATTTAAACATACATACCTTAAAACGTACATACATAAGTATCATTACTTATATTTAAAACTTGTTTTGGCATGTAGATGGATACTAGATACACCAAGAATAGAACACAATCTCGGACATACGGTAGCACATAGGAAGTATAGGTAAGTGCACGGGATTAATTAAAAATTGTAGTAAATACTCGTAGCCTTATCGATTACTGTGTCCTCTTGGAGGCAACTTTTGGATAGTATAAGGTATTTCTTCCTTAGATTTTGATCTATTTAACATGAAAAGAAACTGAACATGCTTTAACCACAAAAAAAAAACCTACCTTGATCGAAAACAACTTTAAGTGGTCACATTCATGGGTACAAGCACCATAATTCACCGCATAATCATTAAAACGAAGGATAATTTATCACGTAAAGGGAAAACGTGGGATAAGTTATGACTACAGTTTGATAAATTCGAGGTCTCCTGGAAATGTAACGCTAAAAATATAAAGTCAACTGTGGCAAAATATTGGTAGAGATAACATTAGTCAAGGTGACTTATGAATTTCAAATTTATTAGAATGCTACATACAGGATCTTTTACTTTCAATATTTATGTAAATTTAGTTTAGGTAGGAAGTCCAGGCTTATCCTGCGACTTAAGCCGAATTACTCACACGTTAGATTAATAAGGAAAGGAAAATTAGAGCTGTTAAAAGTAAATAATTATTATGAGAAAAGAACTAGGAAGTAATAATTAAAAAAAAAAAAAAATTAAAACTAAGATTTAAAAAAATGACTGGAAATTCTAAAAGATTAAGACGTGTACATGAATAAGGAAGTAGGTACCCAATTATAGTAAGGTTATACATATTTATGTTTTATTTCTAAGGAATATTTTGTATTTTAGTTAGTATTCCGTTGTAGTAGAAATTTCAAAGTAGCATTTAAGTACTAAGTTTGTTACAAATTGAGCGGAACGCCTACGAACTGTTAAAACAGTTTGGCGAATGGTGACACTGTAAAAAAAATTAACTTAAATTTGAATGAAGTTTATTTCAAAAAATCGTTTGGTTCCTATACAATACGACTTACATTATTGAATATATACATACATATATTACACATAGACTCAGAATTAATAATATTATCGTTCTCAGCGAACAATTCTTTGTTACGACTCATCAGTCAAAATATCTAACCAATAAACCGACAAGATAGTTATCTATATTTCAAGTTATGACAAGACTTTTATGAAATAATAAACTAAGATATTTTTAAATTAGAAATAATATTAATAAAAATTTGGACAGAATAACAGGCCCCCAAACATTCGACAGAGGACATGTTTTAAACTTTATAACAGAATAAAGCACATTTTGAATAAAAGTTACTCAATCCCCTTACGCTCGTAATGAAACTGAATTGTATCATAAATCTCTTTTCATTCCAAGTCTTTATAAATGTCCTGTCCAACTTCTTAATGATCCCCAAAATATTTAATGTTGATTTAATATAATGACGACTGAACCAAGTCGGTTGAGTCGAAGTTCGAACATAAAACCTCAGTGACTGGGAACTTTAGCGGCAGTTCAGCTCTAATGGAGTTGTCTAGTTTATCTAGATCGGAATTTGTTGGAGTCTGTTAGGCCTGTTATATTATAAAACACACATATGTTTCTATCCGGATAGTGGGGACACAACTAATTGATTTCTGTTGAATCTATTTTTGACGTCTAATCCCACCTGCGTTTATTTTTTTGTAGACCAGCTTTTGCCCGCAGCTCCGCCCTCATGAATGTCGGCAAAAATTAAGCGCTTCCTCAAGTACATCTATGCTAAATTTTATTAAAATCGGTTCAGCAGCTTAGTCGTGGAAGCTTAACAAACAGATTGATTTACTTTTATATTTATAATACTAGTAGGGAGTAGGGATGTGTTAATCGAGGAATGCCTCAAGATGAAAGATACCTACTTATTCTGTACCCTCGTCAATATAAAAATACAAAAATTTCATAATAATCGGTTGAGTAGTTAAGGCTTGAAGGCAAGAAATAAGATATCGGCAAATTCTGTCACATTTATGTACAATACTATAAGGCTTGATTTTCAAGCTATTTTTCTATGACTTGGCAATACAATGTTTTGAAAGCGATCGCTTAGTCTCGACCCATAATGGTTCTTAACAAAATTGAATCAAACGTATCGAAGTATATTCAAAATGTTCAAAACTTTCCGTTCAGAAATTCGATATGAAAGTCAGTTACGAAACATTAATTTACTAAAATAACTTTTCTAAACTTGATGTTTCAATATTGGCATCACCAAAAGTTTTTAATTAATTTAATTAAAAAGATTTTTTAAGAATTTATGGAACAAATAAATGGTGCAAATATATGTATATGTTACGCTCAACTACCAAGAACGCTTATTGAGCGAAAATACAACTCAGAACCAAAACATGACTTTCTTTTCTGTAATTGCTACAAGGTGTCCTAAGCGTTTTTAGAAGAACAGTAACACTAATAGAATGTAACAACGCGTTGTGTGCTATTTTTTCAATTTGGGCTTTGAACGTAACATATACACATACATATAACAGGGAACTTACACAAATTATGACGAAAACCTTTCTATAACTGTCCTTATAGTAGTAAAATACCTTTCATGTTTTTATCTGATTATTTGCTTGGAATTAAACATGTTAGCACATACCATGGCATTTGCATAGCTTATATTATCTGTAAAACAAAACGTTACATTAGTACACAAGAATTTTAAGTCAAAAGTTGTAATTTCGTGAATGTAACCAGTAAGCTTTGATTTCCATTTGCGCGTTCTTTATTGGCATTGTTTATGTATTACATTGAAAAACTTGAACGGTCTTATAACGGTCACACATATCAGCTTACAACCTAAATCAATACAACTTTTTCATTTTTTTAAACTATAATTAAAAGCCGTTTACAGATATAATATGTATATATCTCACACATCACACACACGGCCGTGTGATCCTAAACAGAGCCTGTGCTATGGTAACCAGACTACTGATAAACATACTTATACATATATTAAACTGAATTGACTACTGTAATATTCGATTTTTAACCAATTTATATGCAAATGGTTCAATCGGTATTTAAACACATTTTGAACTAAGCTTATAGTGTTAGTGCATTAATTTAATTCTGTATTTGATTGTTCTAGGTCTTGGTTAAGCTCGAAGAGTTCCAGAACTACTAAGTAAGTACTTTATAACTAACATTTTGCTATTGTAACAATGTTTTGAAAATAAACTTACTATACCATTTAATAAGAATACTACTAAGGCAATTGTGAATGTCTAGACTAATTAGAATATAAGAAAAGTATCGAATAGTAGGTATTTAGATACTGTGGTTATAGCTTTACAATACAGTGGTGCTAATTCTGTAGTTCGAAAACTCTCTAAACTAAACTAAAAATCACTAAAATTTAGTTTAGAACTGTCAAGTACTACATTTTCAGAATCAGAAACGTTATTTGATAGGACAAAAATTTTTTTTTAGTGATTTTTAGTTTAGTTTAGAGAGTTTTCGAACAACAGAATTAGCACCAATACTGATTTGAATCTACTTTTTATTCCACTATATTAGTCAGAGAAGTGAACAAGAATTCTTATAAATTATGATCCACGTTCAAAGCATACCTAGAAGAAATTGCACAATATCTCAAATATAAAGGTTTTAAATCAATACTAGGTTTTTCCCGAGTCATATGTCGGTCATCGTGGTACAAAGTAGCCAATATTATTCGCTGATAATATAGCTTTCATTGGTGAAAGTTGAGGTGTGAAAGCGTAACAAACAAACTCACTTTTGACATTTATTAAAAACTAACTTTTGCCCGCGGCTCCGCCCGCGTGTATTTGGGTTATTGCAGTAAACAATAGCCTATGTCCTTTATCAAAAATCAAATTTCATCTAATTCGCTTCAGCGGTTATTGATTCCGCATACAAACTTCCAACCCCATTTTCACCCTCTTAAAGGATGAGTGCTGGGATAAAAACTATCGTATGTCCTGTCCCAGGACTCAACACACGTTCGCATTTATAATATTAGTGTGGATATAAGTATGCCAGTGTGCATTATAAATACATACAACGTCCTTCAAGTCAGTATATGATTAGATATTTTCCTAAATGCGTAATAAAATAATTTTTATGAACCTTTATACATTTTAATGATTTATACATGTCATCTAAAGAAAAAACTTATTCTTTTGTTTTATTTTTTTTAATCAATTATGATCACTGAATGAGGCTATTGATATTCGATCACATTAACTGGAGTTAACGAGATGGTTTTATTATGAATATGTCTTTAAACTGCCTGATGTTTTAACTGGATTACATAACAGCGGTGTGCCTATGACTATGGCCCGTGTAACTTGTACGGCAAATATAAAAAGCTATTGTATTTTAAGACCAAGCCATACCCTTCCTCCTTAGCCACACCTTCCTTCCTTCTACTGTATAGTTGTAATCATTTTTGAGTTTTAGAAATATACAAATATGTAGATTATGTACACACACACCACAAAGTGACGAACTGATCACACACAAATTATTTGCAAATAGGGAAAATAGTTTTTTCTTCTACTGTATATTTGTAACAGTTTTTGGGTTTAAGAAATATACAAGTATGTAGATTATGTACACACACAGCACAAAGTTACAAACTGATCGCACACAAATTAATTTGTAAATAGGGAAAATAGTTTCTGAACTTTGTTTAGTTAATCAATTAACTTTAAGTTGTTTAATTTAAAGTACCCTGCTACTATGTCAACATGCGTAGGTATTCAATTCGTGGCCTAAAGTTTTCGTATTATGTGTTGTTAAACTATTTTGTTGTTTGTTAACCAACATTTGTTTCTGACTCTTTATGTTTTAATGTTCATCATCATTATCAACAGCCTTTAACAGTCCACTGCCAGACATAGGCCTCTCCTTAAAAAGGAGCTTTTGGACTACTATATCACGCTGGCCAGACGGGTGGTTGGTTTCAAGTTATCCTTCTCTTTGCAGTGTTGTTGTTCTGCAGTTTTAATGTTCGTTATTGGCAAATATAAATTTTTCTTTCTTTCTTTTCTTGTTTAAAAAGACCACTCCCTTACTCGTGTTAGGAATATATCCTTTCACGAGTAAGGGAGTGGAATATAGACTTTACAAACATACATAAAATGGACACAAAAAACATTCACACTCAGAACTACAATTTGTAGCTCACACAAAGTGTCGTCCCTATGTGGGGAACGAACCCACAACACTCGACGTAGTAGGAAGCGGTGTTGCGGCCGCTTAAACCACTACGCCATCCGTGCAGTCGCATTAATGTGGCTGATTTGACATAATAAATTATGACAAGTCTATCCGTGGGAGAGAGATGAATCAGCATACAGAGGCCGACTGGACCGGAGTGATACCACCATTTCCTTGCAGACAACCAGTGTTAAACAAACTCTTTTGTTGCATTTGACCGAGTGACTGAAATTAAAGGAGACCCAACGCTCTTAGATGACCAAACAAATATTGACCTATAAATCACAACACTATCAATACACCTGCTGTCATTAGACAAAGACAACTATTGTAATTTACGTAATGAGTGACAGGGAAATTTCAAAAAGACATCAACGGGTGCTTAATTGTTATTACTTAGCACTATTATAAGTTGAACTCCGATGCATTATAATAATAATATAAATAAATAGGTTAGAATAGGTTAACGTGATAAGAATATAATTTACTTACCGATAAAATGGTATACCATCTTTTTGATAACTGGATACCTTAGCATACTTGCCACACCATTTCACTGTACAGGAAGTAGATAGATAGATAGATAGATAAATACTTTATTTGTACACCAATGTTTTACAGACATTATACAGTAATTAACGACCGATGTAATGTGCAAAGGGCGGCCTTATCGCTTAGTGCAATTTCTTCCAGGCAACCTTTGGATGGATTCATTTTGAAATGGTGATAGGTATACCTACATAAATTAGAGAAGTAAATAAGGTCTTAACCTATAAAATATTTTTTTATACATAAATACTATTAATCTATATTTATACATAAATACTATACATACATACTTTAATATATACATACGCTAATTTTCAACTATTAGAGACAGATAATGCTCATATAGCATAGTCTTGAAGGTGGTTACGGATTGCGCACGTCTGATAGTAACCGGCAAGGCATTCCATAAACGTACAGCTTCTACGGAAAATGATTTTGTGTAGAAATTGTAGAATGCCTTGGTATTTCCAATTTCAGTCTTTCAGAGGACCTCAGACATTTCATATGTGTGTCATGAAGGAACTTAAAGCGTTCTTCTAGGTAAATAGGAGTTAATGGATTAAACAGTATATTATACAGAAGCGTATGGATATGAGTATTCCGGCGAAAGCGGATCGGAAGCCACCTGAGCTTTTTACGGTAGTGGGAAACATGATCATATTTGCGAAGTCCAAATATGAATAGTATACAAAAAATTTGGAGACGCTCAAGTTTATCGAGATGTGCTTCGGTGAGATCGAGATAGCTAACGTCGGCATAGTCAAGAATCGGAAGAAGGAGCGTTTGTGCAAGTGCAGTTTTAGTAGCAGTCGGAAGAAATTTCGTAACCTTCGCAAAGATCCCGCTGCAGCGAAGACTTTGCGACTCACCTCCTGAATCTGAGGTCCCCATGATAAGGAAGCATTTTTAAATATATCGACCGCACGTACGGGTTACGAATTTGGTCGTTACTAATGCCATGATTCTTAGCGTCACGTCGTATGCCAGCGAAAGCAAGTATGTATTGCGCGCCTTTGTGGCCTATATGTGGAATCTATTAGGAGGTAATCTGTGTAAATATCCAATCAATTTTAGAAAGTATGAAAATAAAAGCAATAAAAAATATAATTTCATTATAATACACGGTAAAAGCGAAGCTACCTATTAAATCTTTATTCCAAAGATTCACATACCACTTCACAACATAACTCATCGTTAATTAATGCTAACACTTCCATTATTTTTATATAATATTTGAGAACACTCATCCTAATTGAAGACAAACATACACTGGTATTTTATAATGATTAATGAACTACGAAAGGTGTTTTCGTTCAATTTAAAAACAATTTCCCACCAAAACCGACATGATTTATTGTAATACAATGATTAATAGAGATGTAAAAACTGATTAAACACTAATTTTTTCTCGATTAGCAGCCAACGAGTATAGAAAAACATTATTTTTTCCAAAATATGTCAGACACTGTTGTGAGAATTAGGGTTTTATTAATTCAGTGAAGGGCTGGCGAACTAGACATTTGTAGTTCAAATGGAGCGCATACATTTATTGCTACATTCAATGAGTCCTACCGCGTTAGCCTGATCATGAAACCATTATAAAAATCGTCTTGTACTTAAAAATATTATATTGCATAGTATAAATATTATGTTACATGATATAAAAGAAATCTCTTGAAAGTTAGTATACTTATAGCATTATAATTATGTTTTTTTTATTTAGTTGAATCTTATCGCGAAGTTACAGAAGTGACTATTTATTTGACTTTAAAGACTAACTAACTTGTATGTACCTATTTATATTAATCATCTACTGATGAATTAACCTCACCTCACTCAAGTCACCTCTGTGGTTTATTTCGGCGTTTCTTCCAAGAGTGAGTTTTGAGTGAGGGAAATGCCGGCTCCTTCTACCTGTAAAGTCCGCCTTGCAAAAATATCTGAAAAGATTTACTAACAGAAATAAATATCATTCATCATTATCATTTAATCAAAACTGGTAATCTGGTGTACAAGTAAAGTATTATTATATTTTCTCGCAGATTTAATATCCAAATATTAAAAACAAACATTACTTCAATCTGTGTAACAATAACAACAGCTCCAAAAAACCCTTTCGTGCTCATTTATGCAAATGGCGTTGGAGTGTACCATTTCTCTGGCGAAGGAAACATGAAATATGCACCAAGATATTCTTAAACAAACTGGAACCAAGCCAACAGATGCATAAGCTATTCATCTGTTGACTTAAATCATGCAAATGTTTTGACGTAATACAAAAATTGTTAAACGATTATGTTTTTTGGTTAAGTCGTAGATTCGTTTAGGAAAAATAGGTTGAAAATAACATAATATCAATCGTTCTAGTGGTTAGTGATGAGCCAGGGAAAG